ATGGCAGCAACTGTAATAATAAAGAAGGACATAAGAGATCTGTTTTGATCTCTAGACGATATCAACACAAAGCTGACAAGGTAAAAGATAAGGTTTCCTTTTTTTGGCCCACCATACGAAGGTGGAATTTATCCAAAAGTAATTTCCCTTTTTGGAGAGCAATGTTCATAAATTTTTACATTGGAACAAGGAACATTTACAAGGAACATTGGCTAAAGTATCCATACTTGTATTTTGTAGTCCAGTGTTATCATGTGGTTGTTTCCACACTTATCAGAATCATCACCAGCCCCATACCGATGGTGTCTAGAGATTAAAACAGTACTGGGCTGGCATTCTGGTAAATGCCATGTAATTCATTCTCCCACAGGTCCACCATGCAAAAATGTTCTTACTCCTTCTGTAGCTGTTCTGTCCCAGAGTGCATTGAATGAAGCTTTCCCTAGACATACCTAATAGTGATGTTATTGTGATATTATTGTAGTGCTATTAGTGATTTTAAAATATATTTTAAGAATTCTACCATGATCTCAAAATATATATATATATTTTTTTGTAGGCACTAAAGGCAACTTTGATTATTCTGGAAGATGTGTATACTGTGCCATTCTTCTTCAATGCAAAGATGCTTCCATTTCATTTAATAGCATGATGTGCTTTTTACCATACTAACTCTACTTCCCTAATCTGGCCATTACTGAACACCACATTAGTATCGGTAAATTTAAATCAACCATTTTTAGTGAATATTTAACTTTAAAAAACAGCAGATGGTGTTCAATAGACTTATTGCTTAAGCAAGTATTTCAATTGTTGATATTTGCGCACTTAGATTTTATGCAAACCTAGAGTAAGCATTCAATTATTTTTTATTAAAGAAATCTCAGTGTGCTCTTCTGGTTTTAGGAATGAAACCATTTTTCATTGAACTATTATTTGAAGACCATGAAAAATCTAGGTAGTGACAAAACAGAGTTCAGACCACAAGCATTTGTAAACAAAATAAGGGGTGGCTTAAACTTTTATTCACAATGTGATGGGACTCTCTAAAGAAATATTTTCCTACCATATTCATTACCCTCTCTTAACTATGTTTAGTTTTAAGGATTTTCCTGAATAATTCCACAGATATTTATAAAGTATATGACTGATCTTGATTGGCTATATTGAGGACACATAAAATGTAACCCGTCTGGTTGGATGCAATTGGAGGTGAGTGAAATTGTAAAAAATCCATTCCTCCGGGGCTCACCAAATCCATATTTGCATATTCTGCATTTTCATGATCCATAAGCTTTTTAATTCAATAATATCAATATCTTACTCTACCACTCTGAGTGAACTGACAAATGGGTTCAATTAAAGGTGAATTAATCTGTGAAAATCCATTCTTTGGGTGGCTTACCAAATACAGTATAACACTGCTATACATTTCACGTGGTCAGCTATATATATATATATA